GGTTGTCTACCAACAAGATGAAGACGCAGTCCATATCCTTGAAAGTGTTTAAATATTCCAACGCATTAATGGGAAAGTAGACATTTCCGGCTATTGGTAAGAGATAAGCGAGGTCACTTTAGACTCAAAAGACGCTCGTTCGAAGTGTACTCTGTACTGTCTGTTATTTCAGTATATATGCTTTGGTAGGCACACATTAATCAATAAATGCTGTTAGAGATACTGGGAAAAGAGGATTAGCCAATTTGCATTTGTTTGAACAAGCAGTTTATTTCATTTCAAATGATCAACCTTGTTACTGGATAATTGACTTTTAGTTCGGCATTTACTCTATAGTTAAATAATCTAGCTGTTTAAGCACCCTTGACGCTAAGATCTAAGAACTAAGTTTTATTTTAGACTGTAACATAGTTGATAGGTTTATTAGTTTAAATACACTTATCGATCAGTCCCTGAAGACATACTTTTCAATCCAGATAATGAATGAATCAACGTCAGACCACCATTGAAATCCTGGAGGCACTAGACGGCCGTTTTTCCACAGTATGGGACGCGCATCCACAGTCCTGAACTCGGGGTCCAAACCCAGAACATTCAGTTTCGTAGATTGACCGAAGTTAGACATCAACACCGTTGGGTGTCGGCCTACTGGTCTAGACATTAAACGTTCGCGCGCAAGACCAGAGGTCTCGGGTTCGAACCCCGAGCGCGGGTTTGTGAATGGACACTGTTAAGGGATCCCATAATAGTGCAAAGCGGCCGCCCAGCATTTCCAGGCTTTCAAAGGTGGTCTAACATTTATCCATTCCTCATATCAATCAAAACTCAACAATCTCCACAAACCTACACTGGTACTTTTTATTGCTGATACATTTTGATGACCGAATGTTCTTCTAGTTTCTCCTTTGTGTTGAGTTAATGATCATGATGGAAAAGGTTTTTTATGATCCCCCTTTTATGGCGTGTTAGCGAGATATTTTTAGGCGATCCATACTTTTTTTATCCCTTGATGTTGTAGCTGACAAATGTCTTCCAGATACTCAGAACACAAAATAAGTAATAACACTTGATACATTTCATCGCAGTAACTAAAATTGTCTTGTATTCTAAGTGTTTCCATGTGTAACGAAGTGATAATATTATCAGATTACTATTCTAATCAGAAGACTAACATGAAATTACTCTTAGTGCAGACTGAAAAGTCCAAAAACTTTTAGAATATGAAAACTCTCTTACTTTCAGTACATATGAAGACATTTCGTAACTGTTTCGTCGTAAGACGATATTTTATATAAGAATCATCACAAAGAATGACAAAAGCAGTTATGTTCAAACGGCAATATCCATCTGAATTCTATTGAATATATAGAACTTAATTTAATTAGGTTTCTACACATTATTCTGTATGAAAACTCAACAGTAATAATTCTCGCCAAATGAAATCCCGATCCGTTCTCCTCGATGCTTCTAATAAGCACAGTACATACATACACGGCAACTTGAATGCGATAGAAATGGTACTAATTGAGAATTGGACCCTCTACTTCAGGATTAGTCAGTGTGCAGAACAACGAGGTTGTTTAGCCAGATTACCGGGTTTGTTAAAGTAAATGATTTGCTGACCAAAAGAGATTCGACTTATACTACCTGTCTGCGAGACTGTAATTTATGAACAAACTAATCACGTATAAGATAGCAGGCAAGGGATTTTGGAACGAAATTCACTCATTCATTTGGACAAATAGCGTCTTGGCATTTTAGCTGATGTCAATTCGTGATAAAAAAACCCCGAAATCTAATTCCTACCCTAAATCATCAACTGCAAACTATAATTATAATTCGTCACACACTAGTTTATAACCCTCATTCGGTCCTTGTTAATAGGTGGACACTCAAGGTCAGTCTAGCGTCGCCAAAAAGGTCATCCATGGATTATAGCCTCACTAAAACAACCCTGAAATTAAGTCTAAATTTGTGGTTGAGAAGTCTTTAATTAAGCATTGTGCATCCATATACATCCTCGGAAATGGTAGTACACGATGAGTAAGTGAAAGATATGTTAACCGTAGTTAACTTCAGTAATGGCATCAAAATTTGGTAATACGTTGTAGGAACAAAATATTTGCTGACGAGCGTAAAGATAAACGGGAAAGAATATGAAAGTAGTTCATCCGTTTAACTTCAGTAAGATTTTATCATATGGAGTTGAGGTTTTCAAAGACGCTTTTCACTACATTCTTTTTACTACTAATATTGTCAAGATCTATCCTCAGTTAGGAAAAAAATGTTTACGGGTGATGAGAAAGGTTACTGTTGTCTAGGCAGATCCAGATATTATGCCGAATTAGTTTGTCAAAGACTTCGATTCATAGACTCTATAACAGGGACTTACAGCAACAACGTGTATTTACAGATAGGTAAATACATATGAGATGATTTGAAGCATGAGTATGTTTCTAAAGCGAGTGCTCTTCCATTTTAAGACAACAGGCAACTAATCTTGGAGAAATTCAGTACATGAAATATAAATAATTCTGTGATACTTGTACGAACTAATGATTCCGTTATACTTGGTTGCCCGCTGATTTCGAATCCTAAATACAATACATTTGTTTGTACTCATCTAGTTCTGTCTGGCTTAAATTGAACTGTTCCGGGAATTCATAATTAGCACAGAAATTCTAATACTTCTAATTATAATAAAATCCTAGTTTTGTTCGGTTTCAAGTATAAATTATCCATTCTTATACACTTATTTGAGCTCCTGGAAAATACCAAGAATTTCTTGAGGATAATTTAACGGTTAAAGTTCATATCCGTAAAATAGATTCATCTATCAAGTTTTAATAGCTTAAAACACGTTAACGATTATGATGGATATAGCTGTAGCAGTGAATAAATCCTCAAAATAAATAGTTCCGTGTCTTCAATAATGATGTTGAACTTGTTAGTTTTACTGGAAACACCCTAGCTGATATCCGCTCCTTTGATTACAAAGAATTTAATAGTCAAACAGTTTCTGGTGAATACCGGTTGTCATATATTTATCAATTTGCTGGTAATTGAAAACACAAAAGTGTTCTCAAAGAAAGATTAGTTACAGGTGATTGGAAAGACGGTTTAAATACATTGGAGAACAAATTAAGTGTTCCTCAATTACTAAACCACTGGGGTGGGATGTTAACATAACCACCTCCCTACCCTCAATGAAGCTTTAAAAAACTATAGCTGAAAGCGACAAGCATTAGTGAGCTAACCTTAGGATTTTTTAGTTATCTTTAGAAATCTGTCTCGAATCCACAAATCTGTATCATTCTTAGGTATTATATTTTCTATACTCAATCTTTCTCTACTACCACTAATAATGTAACTAACATTATACCTCGTTAAACTGTAGAACCTTGAATCGATCTGCCTATGCGCTAGGTTATGCGTTGTGATTGACGACAGACTGACTATATGCTATTACTTAACCAAATCTATTAGAATAACAGAGTACTTCAGGTAGATATGGAGTTTAACCGGTCATTCTGTAAGTATTATAAGCTGTACACTTTCGCTAACAGTATACATTACGCTTCATCTATAATCAATTCATTATTTTTAAATCTGGCCGTCGCATCTAGAATTCAATATCCGATGGTAAAATGAAATAATTTCTTAGAAGTTATGCTTCCAACTATTGGTTAATAAGCCACCTATGGATTATATATTCAAAGGCCATTTTCTTTGTTGGAATTTGTAAAAGAACCTTACTGATGATTGAAGATATTGAGTTATATAATTTGAATATGACCTCAGTGTGGTGTAAATACACTAATCCACTTTATTGAGCCCCTTACTGTTCCCATCTCTAGGGTTTCTTTGTTTGTGGTGAAGCGTATATACATGACATCAACCCATGGATACGCTAGTCGTTAGCTTGGGCCATGTAAGTAGGCGTAAAATACGTGGTCAGGGTCCGCGTGATCATTGTAATCACTAGTTAGAAACCTTGAGTGAAATAGTTCAAATTCGTTTGTAATTTAACCTTATCGGAAGCATCATAATGGTTAGTGAAATGTTCTACTTTGATGAACACCTGTTTCTTTACAATACTCACTTCTGATATTGATGACTGCCTGGCAATGAAGAAACAAAGTATGAATATTACATACTATTGATGAATAACAAATGGTTTCTAACTTACGAACCATTTTTGAAATCCAGTGGTATTTAAGAACATGAACTGAGTAGCAACAAAAGTGTACAAAAAGAATATGAATTTGAGTATGGATATTTTTTTAACTGATTTATCCGATACATATTCGTCTACTTGACTTTGAGTTGCACTCTAAACATGAGGGATAGTAGAACTATCTAATTGTCAGAATTGGAGTAAATAGGACAGGATATGTAACCTGAAACGGCTTAGTGCTTACAAGTAGAACGCTCTGACTACTCACTCATCGCTGTACGATAATATTTGGTAAATTGTTATAATGCAACACTAGTGCCTACCTACATGTATGTTGTCCCGATAAGAATAATGAATGGTCATTTTTGGGATCCACTTATGGACCAATATTATGAGTATATTTTTATCGTATAATTGTTATGCAACTAAACTGTTCATATTTATACCCCTCTTATTATGAGCTTTATGTTGACCTATGAACTACTATTGTACGATTTACCATTCATGAATTATTCCCTATTTGTTAATCGCTACCTCCCTCATTCACAGCCACTTCTGGCTAATTATTGTACAAATGTTATTTTCTATTTTATTGGTACGTTGTGGTCGGGTTGATTGGTATATAAACATAGTATGCTTGAAATACAATGATTCATATCTCAGAGACTGAGACTTGAGTTCTGGACTCAACTGGCTGGGCTAGACAGGGAAGCAAGGCCAATCAGAACTCTAGGTCGTTCTTACGTGTTTTACGCGTCTTTGGTCCGATCGATAATGCACTGCTCTCTAATCTTTCAATCAAGGAAACAACAATTGGCACGGGGGTAAAAATTGATCCACGTTCAAGTCACAACAATGTAAATGTTTCATCAAGTTTGTACTGGAAATATTTGTAAGTAGATCAGGACAGTAAGAGTTAATGGAATTGCATATTGGTCGGTAGGACTACAAAAGATGAGAACCCAAAACAAGAAAATCTAGTTGTGACATTATTAGCCGATCAATTTATTAGTTATATAGAATGACAATAACAGCCGTTGAAAAAAACGAACCATAGCACCAAAAACCATGAAGTTAAGTTACCGTTAGTTATTAGGCATAAATATTGTTATTTTCTTCAAGGATCTAAAACCGTATAAACAATAAAACCTTTTATTCTGTGCTTGTTTCTTGTATAACGATGAGACTGTAATCACGATCTAAGTCGACAAAATAAGAGAAAATAGAAAAAAAGTTCTTAAGTAAGTGAATGGAAGAAAACTAAATAATATATTTTTCTAAAAGTAACTACATGAAATACAACCTGATCGAGTATCGGGACTTGAAGACTTCGGGGTTTGATCTCCGGTGGGGTAGTGGATTTAAACCCAAATTAAGGAATTTCATTCTGCATATAAATAGTTGTCAAATGATTACTGCTTTTCAATACTTATCTAACTAAGATCAATCTGTGATATGGACTAAAATTAATGTCAATAATTCGGGACATCAACAGACATAAACTGAATGTCGCTATCGGTATATTGTTGGTCACCGGCTACCATGTGACTGCATCTCTTAAACTTGCTCCAGTGCCTTGTGGATTGGACTTTCAGGTCAAAGGTTTAGTGTGTGGCCTCCTAAAAAAACCACCTGCTTCGATTTGGGCACCCGAGCATTATTACAGTCCTCATACAAATCAATGATAACTGCTAATGGCTTCATTGTTATTGTGTGGCGCATATGTATTTGATGCCCTATTTTACTAATGTTTATGTGAATGGGTTTTTGTGGAGATTTTTAGAAATTTCACAGGTTGAAATCATGAGTCAATTGAAGCTAGACCACCGTTGGAAACCTGGAAGCACTGGACGGCCGTTTCGTCCTAGTATGGGACTCCTCAGCAGTGCGCATCCACGATCCCGCACCCCGCGGGATTCGAACCCAGGACCTACTGGGTTCGCGCGCGAGCACTTAACTGAAGTTAAACATTAACACCGTTGGATGCCGGCTCAGTGGTCTAGTGGTTAAGTGCTCGCGCGCGAGACCAGTAGGTCCTGGGTTCGAATCTCGCAGGGGGCGAGGTCATGGATGCGCACTGTTGAGAAGTCTCACAGTAGGACGAAACGGCCTTCCAGTGCTTCTAGGTTTTCCATGGTGGTTTAGCTTCAGTTGACTCATGATTTCAACCTGTGTAATGTTTATGTGTTCAAATAAATAAATAAATAAATAACATTAGATAGCACTAAAAATATGAACATAGGTAGCGAAAAAAAAGATTCATAGATAGACAAATTTTGTTTGTTCATATCTACGAAAGCCATTTGATTAGGATAAATAGAAATGAAACGAGGAAAATTAATTATAAAGAAAAAAACTACTACCTGGTGCTACCATAATTTCATTTCGAGTACTTCGTATACGCAGAAATGTTAAATCATTAGATGGATCTAAATCACGAACAGCAGAACGAGATTTTGCTACCAATTGTTGAATAAGACCACAGTAATGATTTGTGGTACTGTTATCCATGGAAGTTCTTACTGCGATCCCTTAGAAAAGTAAATAAGATATTTCTATATAAGAAGAACAATAAACATTAATCTCAATAATGATTGAGATCAATTGTATCACTGAAGAAGAATAAAGACAATTTAACGAAGAAACTTTTCTTTTTGATACTAGTTTATAGAAAATTATCAAGATAACTAGTCTGATGAATAATAATGATATTAGTATGTAAGAACAGTGTAATTTCATAATAGAAGTATCTGGCCATGAGTTTTAGTTCAGAAATGAGCAATATTTATGTTACAACTTGTGCCCTAATAATATTTAACATAATGATACAATCAATAAGAGAACAGTGATTTATCGACCGAACTAATGACGCATAAACCCGTACGAGTCCTGATTGGTCCTGCTTTCCGCCTAACCCAGCCAGTTAAGTTCAGAACATCAATCTCAGCCTCTGAGATATGAATCAGGCATTTCAAACATACTGGGCTTATAAACAAACCAAACAGACTACATCGTACCATAAAATAGAAAATAACATTTGTACAAGATTTAGCCAAAAGTTGCTGTATTCATGAGAGACTGTAATTGATAAACTGGGCATAAATCAAGAATGGTAAATCGTATAATAATAGTCAATGGGTTAAAATAAAGTTTATAATAAGTAAAATATGAATATGGATAGTTTAGTTACTTAACAATTATACAATGAAAATATATGTATAGTATTAGTCCATAAATAGATTCCAACAGTTACCATTTATTATTCTCGTCGAGATATAACAACTTAGGAGATGGACAATATCTAAATCAATATGAACTTCAACTGTAAGGTGTTGGTCTACAAAAAGCTTTGCTTGACCTAGGTTTCGTGCTCGTCAACAAGGTATACCTGTAATCTTGGAGAAACTAATACTCCTTGGGAGATTCGATCCCGTGTCACTCAATTTCACAGTCAGATACATTACCACTTAGAGTAATGGTCAAATTACAACTTGATCAGTGTTAAGAAAGACTTGAGATGTGTGAAGTTGGCCACTCCTTACTTAATGATCAGCCAATTGTAAATAGTTTAGTGAGATGCTTTTCTGATTAAGTAAGGTTTATCACAATTACTTGAGATGGGACACGAAGTGGATATAATAGAAGCATTCAAAGTAATCAATAAATAATCTAACTGTATATTAGTAAAAGTCATGGAAGCCATAGGTAGTTAGGCTTGAACCTGACCATCTGTTTTGGTAACCAAGATGTTTGTTATATTCTAGTGAAGATTTAATTACGAGTAACTTCTGAGAACTATTGATGGACCAGTATTATATATATATTCCTATTGTATAACTGTTCAGTAACTAGATTGTGCATATCTATATTCCTCCTATTATAAGATTCATTTTGACCTATAGATTATTATTATTATTATTACACGATTTACTGTTCTTAATTTATGTTCAGTTTATTGATTCCAGTCTCCCATGTTCACAACCACTTTTTGGCTTGATCTTGTATAAATATTATTTCCTATTTTATGGTGTGATGCCGCCTGTTTGACTGGTATATAAGCCAAGTATATTTGGAGTAAAGAATTTGCATAGTGGAAGCTATTATTGGCTTTGTGGACTCAACTGGACGGACCAGGAGGAAAAGGATCAAAAGAACGCTATGCTGTTCATACCGATTGATACGTCATTGGTGTGGTGCGGTGCTAAGATAGTATAAGTCGTATTCCGATTGGCGAATAAGTCACGTGATAATAAGCCGGGAAAAGACAACAATATTAACTTATTTTACTAATTCTCCTATTCAATTAAGGATAATTACAATTTAGTGAGTTCGACTCATTTGTTTCTTCTTTACAAACATGGATTTTTGTTAATATTACGTAGTGACAACTATCTTAAAAAATCTCCTACAACTGTCACTCCCAGCATCTATAGAAGCCTGTTAACATTTAATTCTTAACGACATTTACGTTTACATTCTATACTTATATATATTTATCTATTTAAGCACATAAACATTGGTATAAGGAGGCACCAAACAGATATGCGCCACATAAATCATTCGATCTGTGTGAGGGTTATGATACTGCCCGGGTGCCCAGACGGAAGCAGATGATTTTCTTAGGGGGCCACACCTGGAGCCTTCAGCCTAATGGTCTGATCCACAAGGCAGTAGAGCAACGTAAGGAGATTCAGTCCCATGGTAGCCGGTGACCAACAATAGGTTCATACACCATTTGCTCCTTTAGGATAATGGAGCTCATGTGTACCATTGGTTTGGAATCAGGGTTTACCAACTCCCCTTAGTGGACTCTCCGTGTCCATCAGCCCGGTTAAAGCACCGATATTCGCTTTTTATCCTCTCGATTTCGTAGACAACACTCCCATCGCGAGAAGGCAGTGACTAGGACTCTTTTGTTATTGTTGAGCAATTCCAGATTATGCATGTAGCTGAAGTGAAATACGAATTTATTGTATTCTGTAATCAATGTCTTCGGTTTATTCAAATTTATTATATGTAGTTAAAATCTAAGCGATTTCAGCTGGGTGGACGGCAACACGATGAGACGTAACATTTGGAGGAGTGAGAAATTATCGAAACGCTTTTATTTTGAAAGACTGCCTCCAAATGCTTCCATATGGTCACGTATATATACTCACTAACTTCTTGCGACGGGGGTATTGTTGACAAAATTAAGGACGGGAAAAGAATCCTCGGCGCTCAAACCGAGTAAGAATGATCCACCTAGAGGAGATATAAAACTCTGACTCCAAAGTGTGACGCATATATATTTGGTGCCCTCTTGTACCAATATTTATGTGTTCGAATGGACAAGGGTTTCAGGATCCTAAGGGAACAATTGGCGTACGAATCTATTCTCGGTCACGGGTTTCCATGGGACTGGATCTAACGTTATTTCACTGCCTACTGGATTAGACCCCAAAATCAAGAGCTCGGGGAGTGTGTCCTTAACAAGACCATCTGCTTGGGTTTGGGCACTCAGACAATAATTCAATCCACACACCAAAAAATAATAACTACTCTGTGTGGCGCTTATATATTTTAGTGCCATTTTGTGCCAATTCGTGTTTAAATAAACAAATAATAAAACATCACTATCGATAACTCTGGGAAACAGGCTTTGATTTATGACGCCTAGCTAATTAAATGAAAAGTTCCCAACAGACAAAAAAGAATCTATAAAAATAGCCTACTTTCAGACTGAGGCGTACATTTACACATATATCTGAAGTTGTTCACAATAAAAAAGGCGAAAGATTTATCCGCAAACGAGACACCCCCAAATGCCCTGGTATGGCCGAGAGTGGGGTGGGTTCGCCCTCCCTCTCGAAATGCTCTCACACGGCCACGCGTATGCAGCCTCTGCCAGGGAAGTCCTACTCACTGCATTCTCGTGGCGTTACTGTTGTTTACGAAAATGAGAGGACGAAAAGCGAATGTCCGGCGCTTTGACCGGATTCCAAACCAATGGTGCACATGGGCTCCAGTATCCTGAGGGAACAAATGGCGTACGAATCAATCGTTGGTCACCGGCTACCATGGGAATGTATCTCCGCACGATGCTCCACTGCCTTGTTGATCAGACCTTCAGGTCGAAGGCTCCGGGTGTGGCCCCCTAAGAAAACCACCTGCTTCGGTCTGGGCACCCGGGCAGTATCACAGCCCACACACACAAATATGGTGTGGCACATATATATTTGGTGCCCTCTTGTATCAATATTTATGTGTTGAAATAAATAAATTACAATAAAAACGAATGGATCAATGATTGGTAAAGCTACTAAATATCAGCTATAATGCTTACCATCTGAGCTTACAATAATTGCACCAATAACTCCTTTGTGTGCCAATAATCTTTTAAATGTTTCTTCTACTTCTGACTTAAAAATATAAACAAGTGATTTAGCATGTATTAGCATTGATCATAATTACAAAAGTGTGAAGCAACTTGTTAAACTTAGAAATCTTGTAAAGAATATGGGACAAAAATCCATCCATCTATAATTCTACCTACTAGTGATTAACAGACCAATTACAACATAACAATACCAACATTTACAAAAAAAAATAGATATTTTAATTCGCTTAGGTGATTAAACAAACACTGGAAATTACGATTTACTAAGTGACTTTAGATTTGTAATATACAATTATCTTGGAAGTTAACATAAGTTCTAATTAGTTGATTAGTTAGAAGACTGTTATATTGTTTTTTCCTCTCAGTCCATTAGTTAGTTTAAAGCAACTAAAACTATTATGTCTTTTATTCCCTGTTAATTATCACGTGACTAAATCGCCAATTAGAACCCCAACTTATTGACCAGATCAATGACACATAAACAATTACGAGCCTAGAGTCAACTCCGAGTTCTCAGTGGTCCTCTGAGATAGTAGGTACTCACCTAATCGGGCCAGTTTAGTCCAGAACACCAATCTCAGCCTCCGCTATATAAATCACGTATTTCAAACATATGCAATTCATATACAAGCAAATCAGATCGCATTATACCATAAAATAGAAAATAACAATTATGCAGGATCAGGTCAAAAGTGGCTGTGAATGTGGAATACTGTAACTAAGAAACTGAGAATAACCTAAGTTACGGAAGCTTATAATAAAAGGAATATATATATATATATATATATATATATATATATATATATATATATGTAGTAGCAGTTCATAAATAGATCTTAGCAGTTACCATTCACTCATTCTTCGTCCGGATATAATAAAAACAAATTAATTTTTCCAGTCGAATGAACGGAAGGTGGAAAGTACCTTTTTACTATAGAGGGATTGTACAAGAAAAGAAATACAGGAGAGAAAGCATAGGACATAAGTGTAATGAAAAGATGAGGCTGGAGGTTAAACACAGGGTACCAGGTAAACATTACAAATAGGCTGATGAGGTAATGAATCTTTATCTATTGAAATAGTTGGGACACGTATTTCGTATAGCCAACCACTCTCTGTCTCGGCAGTCAATGCTGTTTGATGTAGGAGTAGGTTGATAAAAAGGTAGGAGCTGTCAGACAGACGTGACACCAGTCTAGGGGGTTATCGACAAATGGACTGAGTCATGTTTGTGGGTATAGACTATCTGGTTAGGGTTTGCGTGATTCCTGTAACTAATGGTTAGGGATATTGTATGATATAGCTCAAAATCCATTGCAGTGGTGCAGGTACATCCGATTTTTGTCTTCTTCCAAATTCTGAGCTTCTGGATTCTTCATAACTTTCTTATCTTTTCATCTCACTAATTTACATTTTCTTGGATCATATCTTCGATACCTAATATTTTCGATCACCACGCATGTTGTCACTACGTCTACTATTCTGGGATTTGGCTTGGCAGTTTCATCCCTCTGTGCTAATGGGGTATACCAATTCGAACCGATGTACATGCGTATTAGGCTGTATGTTGTTAATGATTGAAATTACAAAATTCAATTTTGGGTTCTAACACTGAAAAGTGAATACATATATGTGGACCACAACAGTTCGAAAACACACAAATAATGCCGGGTAAGCAACCACAATCAGGTCTTTTAATCGTAGCTCAGGAACAGAATATGTATCTATAGCTAGAAATAATTCATTTGCCAAATACCAATCAAAACTTTAATATATATTGAAGACTCAAGAGTGAAATCGGTTTTGTTTATCTAGACCAACCCATTCAGCTAGTACAAGTTTACGTACTCGGCTTTGAGAAACATGAAGCGATGAGTTTCAGCGCAGCTAGTCTTAAGGTATTGCTTCCTGCACATAAAACACAGCAGACTTAGATACACTTAGTGCGTGCAAAGTTTTTAGATTCATTTGAAATACTCACTAGACAAAACTTTACCGCATGTAAACTGCGTCGATCATAGACTCCATGGTTATTGTGAGAAGTCATCTACCACTACGTTAGTGGAAAAGTTAGGTGAAATGAGAAAGTACATATAAACACTGGTTTTTGTTCAAACTTGGTAGGTTTCTTCAAGTTCTTATGTAAATTGGTGGATAGGTAGATCACAGTTCTAATCTTTTTTCAAATTACAAGTGACTTAATGTAGCACTTATTAAGGAAAGTATACCACAAGCTTAGTTAATATTCCTATAGCAGTGGTGCGAGGTCCGAACATGTGACTTAGTAGCTGAAAACAGAACGCTCTAACTACTGAGCCACTGCAGCATGGAGTACATACCCAGTTATGGTCAGTGGAAATACTTAGAGGGGTGTCAAGTTCCAACCATTAATATGTTTGAGACGTCACTCAAGGTGAATTAGATGAAGAAAAAAATGATACACTAAGCAAAACTTAGAAATAAAGAGTAAATTCGTCGAAGACTGAACCTACATGATTCAGGATCCCTCAAATGTACAAAGTACTGACTGTCAATGCTAATTAATTCACTGTGGTGAGGAAAACATTATAGTGGACAGGTATACATATATATTTTTGTAGGTTAAAAGACCTGATGGTACTAGGGCCATGAGAAGGTGAAGCGGTTCATTATTTAACGTGGAAAGTTGCCAGACGACTTGCTTTTGTAGCGGTCCTAATTAAGTCTCCTCCCGAAGCTGATTTTTTGGGGAACATCTAGAAAATACACTCAGTCTGCATCCAACCAATTAACTATACACCATCAAATCAACGGTTTTTTTAGTGACATCTGGTTTCAAAAAGCCTGATTACCTTTAGACGAATTCACTTACTCGAAGTCAAAATCGATCAAGAACGAACTTTCTGTGGAACCCACTACTTGAATTGCTCTACCAGACATATTAAAATGGTTGTTGTCAAAGTCCTTATGTCATTTTTGACAGAACATGGAGCGAAGGAATCAAGTGGATTACGACAACTCATAAGATGCTTAGCCGCCATCCGAAGATTCAGTAAATTTATTGTTTCTTTCTTTGAGAAAGACAGAACTAGGTGATGACGTCATCGTAATACAAACCACATATATCTAGAGCATTGGAGAGTTGGCCCACAATAAGTTCAAGACTATGTGATAAATATCACTTTTAAATAACGATATACTTCGAAGGTACAACACATACAAATCGTGTGAGATATAGTGTATGCTGAACAGATGGATTAAATATTTGGTAATTCCTAATCCACATTCACATATTTATGCTTAATGTCAGTTGCAAATACTTCATAAGGTGATGATAAGATGAAACAAGTTAATAAAACAAACAAATTATAATTAACAACCCGCTTACCATTATCTATGGCGCAACAAATAGGTTGCCGCGGTGACGATGCAGCCGGTTGATAAGTTCGATATCCAATATCCAATTTCTTGACAATCTTACACAAAACGATCAGTTCCTTTGTTCTTACTTCTTGTCATTTCAATACACTTCCAGCTCTCTGGTAATGTCCAGTTGGCTTTAGCTCAGTCACTCGACTCCACCAACTTTAATCAGCTTGGTGTTCATTTGTGAGTCTTTAAATTTGAGTGAGTGCGTTTGTATGATAGCAGAAGGGTCTGTGGATAATTGCGACTATCACATTGCCAGATCCGAGGTAGGTTGGCTGCGACATGAAAAGTAATGGAGTGAAAACTTGAGTGCCATGAGGAGACGATTGTTTTAAGAGGTAGATAGATAAATAACTTAATAATCAAGCTAATCAGTTGGTGATGCACAGTGTGAGGAGACCTATATGTGAGGGCGAAAGGGAAATATAGATGATAATTAGTGAGATGGGAATTAGTTACTGATTTGTGATGATGAAAAAGTAGTAGGGCTGCGAAAAATGGATCAGGTACAGCTGATCCAAGGGGGTGATAATCTGTGGATGAGTATGTGTTTATTAAGTTTCCACTTAAAGCTACCTACTGATGAGGCTGTGGTCACTTCGGCTTGGGGAGCATTGCGGATTGGGACAACTCTTAATGAGAAAAAGTGAGAACGTACCAATGTGTTCGCTGTTTGATGTGTAATAGTTTTAGGATTGCCTCGAGTATGATGTTGATATTCCGGTAGTATGTTTGTATTGAGGTGGTTTGGCGTACTGAAAATGTTTTATGACACTGTTATATCACCTCTTATTCTCTCATTGATCAGCGGGAATAATCACAAGTGTTGTAGTTTGTGTTCGTACTTGTTCTAAGGGGTTTATGTCCTTCTTGGAGGGCGGGTGGGAGCGACGCCACAGTGAACTCGAATGAGGGACCGCATGTGCGTTTTCAAAAGATTCAAGAACAATCACTTGGTGATCGAGTAAAATTTTCATCACATAAGGTGAAGAATTGAGTTTAGCTTGGCTTCATACCGTATTTAGTTGGGGTTGTTATCTAGGCTTTCCGAGGTTGTAAGCCTGATCTCATGCTTTAGCTTGACAGTCGGGAGACGGTCGTCGTGTAGGCTCTACTAATGCAACTTAGATAAGAAGTATTCTCGTCCCACCAAACTATTTTATTTGTGACCGTGATAAACACGTTTGCACCATAATCACTTCTTCCTATCGGCGGATGGATATGGAAACTCTCGGATAAGTAAACCATTTCAGTTCGAGGGTTTTCCGACCTTACCTCATCTCGTGTTGTCACCCACATGTTCGGATAGTTCCAAAATTCTCTTTGCATAAAGTGAAGTATTGCGTTATCCTCTTATTCTCCTGGTCTGTTTCATCGCCTGCTGCTCCTCATCATCAGTATAGGTCTTCCGCATTTTAAGCAGACTGTTGTTTAAAGTGTATTGGTCATTTGCGTGCGAACTAACCGTTGTATAATTGTGACTATTTAAGATGTATCATTAGTGGGGCCGTTGTCTCTGCGTGTTTTCTGCAGTTGTCTTACCTAACGTGATATGTTCTAGCAACAACCGATGTTACTGGACAGGTTGTTTTTCGAGTCGTACCAGACCTGGATCGCCTCAGTGAGCTTCTCTCGGTTTCTGAAATTCACAGACATCAGACGCGAATGCACAGCTGTCGTGATGCAGGACGGATAAAGTATCCTGAACGCGCTAATTACCATATTGTTGTTAAGATCTATGCTGCATAATGGCCAACAATACTGTTGCATATCGTGTTTGTGAGCTTCATCTTGACTACCACTGACCAGCTCAGGAATTGCTTGAACCACCATTCTGGTTGGTTATTGGGTGTTTGTCAATCTTCTGGTCGTATCTCTAACAGCTCAGGGTTTGTCGTGCATAACTCGAATTTGAGAGGATCGTTTAATTGATGGCCACTGAGATGTCAGTGAAATCTCTTCTGTCACATGTGCCGAGTCCAACGTTACTGTTAATGGATACGATTTCGTTTTCGCGATATTTTGTTTCATATGCAGGGGACACAGCTGGGTTGATGTGATACTCTCTCCCAACATTGTACAGTATTTATCTCACCCTTCTTTACTGAAGACTGCCCTATTTTCTAGTAACTTACTTTTCTACTCCGGGAATTTATCGTTTTAGTGATATCTCTGTCCAGTAGTCTGTAATATAAGTAGCTTAGCACACCCTCTTCTTTTCTTTCTTGTTTGCTTACTAGTCTTATCAGGAGTAGGAACTTGATTAAGAGTTTGATCTTGATTGCCTAGTTGAAGATGTAACCTCGGTGTTTGAGTTGAGTGATCCATTTTGTACACATTATTCAGGGTTCATTGACTGATGTCGTCTCTACAGATACCGGAATTTTCAACCCACTATAAACCCTTGAATAGTGATCTTCATTAATATTTCTCAAGACTTCAACGTAAGCAATCGTGCCAAAGTTATTACTTTGCATGTTACTCGGTGGAGAAAGTACATAATGTTGGATAATTTGAGGGGAAAACACACATGATATAAGTTTAGGTGTAGGAAATTAATAGAGACAATTAAGCGTATGCCACAGAAGAATAAGGCCTTAAGGACGCTCAAAATCGACATTGGATGCTGACCATATGTTTTAGTGGACTCATCTAGCTGAAGGCGCTCGGTCAGGCACCAGATCACGTGTGGTAACGCCGTGCTCAACTGCTACTGCAATCGCTAGCCAGATTAGATCAGAGAATTCCGATATATTGGTAATTGCAACATACGCTCTTCCGATCTCCTCGACTCTGTCTTTTGATTTCTCTGGGTGCGAACCAATCATATTAGAAGGTGTTACTGGTTGAAGCGTTGTCAAACACTGAATACCTGTGTCATCCTTCACTGTTTAGTACTCAGCGACCTGCCATCCGGGTGATACTTCACTGGCCTTACATATCATTTGTGATATTCATTGATTTCAAAGCATAAAAGACTGAATACTTTGTAATAGCAATAAGCTACTCTGTTATTCAAAGAAAGTTTGGTTACTCTCGCTTTCTTAGTGATCAGTTTGTCAACTACCGGTGTTTACTTGACAATCGGAAGTACTCGAGATCAGTATGCTTACAAGAACTATTCACGTCATACTATACTGGCCACATGTAGATAAATATTCGAGTCTGGAAGAACTACGTGAGTACGGTCAGACATATTGTATTTGACATTACAGTCAGGCGAGGAGTACCTTACAAACGTGTTATCAATTCGTAACAACGCCACACACTATTAGTCAATAAAGTCCTGTACACAAGGACCGGTTGGTGGGGGTATCCAGTAGTGTTTATGAGAAAGTTAAACATGGAATATAATAAATAATTAGCATGATCAAAATCATCACAGCTCTAAATCGATTCTCACGCAGTATGAGGTACAAAAATAATTTGATATTGAGATATCTCGTGCTATTAATTGTCCCACATTATCTCCACAATTAACCGTAAAATGAGGGCAAGAAACGTTCTGGATTTAATCCTATATCTCATTAGAACGTCTCTCGTTGGGAGAACCACGTGAGTGACATCTAGCCTCTATTTATTTCGCTGCAGATCTTATTATGCAATTAAAGAGTGAGGGTGACTAGCGAAAAAATAAACGTGGTGTAACTTGATCCCTGTAGTTCGTAGTATACATGATCGTGTTTAACTCTTAATCAGCCCCTTTTCTTCTCTCTACGCATTCCCTTTTCACTTGTTGCACATTTCATTCTTGGAAAGTTTCGGAATTGTATTCTATAGGGTTTACCATTTAGTTGTTAATTATTCAAAGAAATTTTGCATACAGGAGCATCTAACAGCGCTGATGTTCGAGTCTTTCAATAAAATCATCCCAAAGCCAGGAAAAAAAGTATGGCTGGAAGAGAAATTGCATCTTGGTGCATGCAAAATTAATGTGTTGTGTGCCCTCTAAGTGAGTTGAAACATGATCTAACGTGGTCGTCCTACCAACTTTCTTTAGCTAGCGGTGCTATATGATCAGCATCAATATCAAACTCTTAGATAGCTTCCTATTTTGGAGACTTACGAACTTCTATATGCCGATTTATGGAGTACTTTTCGCTACTTTTAACTTAAGCTCACTCTCTGTAATGTCTAAGATAACACTGAATAGTAAATGGAAAATGAAACATGAATTATTACTTCTAAACGTAGTCTGGAGCCTTATCACAAATTTCCAATCATGACTATAAAAACTGGCTACAAATTTTATTTATAAATGATATCTTTCATTGCGACGAAATCTCTCCTCTTCTGTTTCACTTCTTAACATTTCAAACTCCGCTAATTTGACAAAGTTCGAACAACCAAACGATAGCTTTCAGTTCGGGAAACCCTAATAACGCGTGGAAGAACTGTTTGACACTTTTACGATAAATTGACCGCGAACTATGTTTTAACCCTGTCATGACCTACTTTTATGAAAAGAACGCGATTAATATAATCGACACAATTATTATTATAACCAACTGTACCAGAGGTTGTCTTACTGCACCCGTTTATTTTAGTGTACTAAAAATACACGTTCTTCCGTTGTCTGTGACCTTGCACGAACTCGCGTGCGCCCGGTAGTCCCGCTTGTAAACTTTGGAACGATCTCGGTATTATTTTGATACCACGAGATCGCCAACAAATACAGCTTACTACAATCTTCGATTGCCTTCTGATATTTGGCCCACGGAGGTTTCTAGCCTGGTAGCTGGCACGTAGTCTTCCTGCAGTGGTGATCATAGTCAACCGCGACTTGATGCCTACTACAAACCAATAGAAGTACAATGGCCATTAACTAAAAAGATCCTCATAGGCGAGCGAAATGGTCTCGGACCATTTACTATTGGAAGCATGCAAATACAAACGAAATTAATGAGTTCGTATGGCAAATAACCAATACATTTGCCGTACAGTTGAATATTTTATGTTGTATTCAAACCTGTAATAACAGTACAATAGAATTTCATACTACGAAACTCGAATTCGGGTTCTTAATTGTGTCTTGTTGAAGTCCTAGAGTCATTGGAACTATTTCTGTCTCTTTATATCACTTTAAATTCACCGTTCGCATAAGCTCGCTATATAAATGCTGAATACTGAAAATTTGATAAGTATTATTCGGGATCTACTTAATTCGCTCACTAAAAATCAATAATAAAGATGACTGAAATACATTTTGTAGCAGACTTCAAATGATGAACACGTGATGTTCTAAATAAAATGTTTCGATATTCTTACTCATTAAATAGCTCAACCGTTTGATAATGCTTTCATATGTAAGGTACAACTAGCATCCAAATCATACAAAAATTAGCTTTTCATACGGTTATCTTCGCATTTTGGGAAAGTCTTAAAATCGACGAATTATATAATAATTCGAGTGTTTTAGGGTTTTTTCACATAAATCTGTACGACTTCTTAGTACGTGGTTGTAGAGGTTGTCGAATCTCATGACAACCTTGAACCGTTATAAGTTCGACCGCCATGAAGAACTTGAAAGAACTAGATGGCGTTTCTTCCTAGAACAGGACTACTCATCAGTGCTCATCTACAATTTCATAAGTGAAACTCGAATCCAAGATCTTTAGCTTTGAGCTTAAACACTTAGCCGTTAGGTGATTTCTTGATGATAATCTGAAGTGTAGACAAATAACATTAACTATTCAATCACAATGTACCGGTCATAACATCGATTCCGCTTAACTTCATTTCTATTTTCGAAAATATTATGAGGCTGGAATAGAAGCATAATATTACTTTGATTATGAAAATTTTTATTGAAAAAAATAAAACAACAGAAGTAACTATCAAGCAAACATAAGCTTATTTTGACGTAGAACGAGACATATTTGAACGTCGGAACAATAACCAGAAAATTACCAAACCAAATGTTGCAAACAGAATTAAGCCAATCAAAAGAGTAAGCAGAATAAGATCTAGAAAATATGACGGAAAAAAGTAGGAAATGTCAATTTGTGAGATTTTCAACATCATAAAAACAAAAGGACAATGACATATGATTGTAAAAATATATAGGTGTCGATGCATTAAAACGTTAAAACCTTAATGATATGAAAGGAGATATCAAGCAATAACTATGATTGAACTATTAAAAAACGAATATGAAAAAAGAAACAAGTTAATGATGTACAAAGTCAGGAAGAAACTAACTAACCTGTATCAGACGAACTTTCACAATTAGAAGATTGATTCAGAGAAGTTTGACATTCGTAATGAGGAACTAAAACATCGTTTGAATGAACAATATTTTGATGACTGGAAGCTAAAATGACACGAAAAGAAAAGTAAAGTATAAATAAATAACAACGAAGAATAAAAAAGTTCATTTAGACTATCTTGATTGATGAGTGAGAATATGATCAATAAAAATAACCCAGTCGTAATAAATCTATATGAAAACAGCAAATAAGAGCAAACAAGATAGAAGAAAAGTATAAAAAACGGGGAAAAACGAAAAATATTCGAAATAAAGAAGAAACCATATAAGATCGAAAGATAATAACATAAAAAAAGAGAAAAAAAGTGTCAAAGTGAAAAAAAATACTACAACTTAAAATAATCAAAACAAAAAATGGATCATACACACCAAGCAATGAAACAAGACTGAGGCGACAGACAGATGCTCGCCATGATTTTGACTGGTGTTTCCGACCTTGTGTTGGTTTTGACGTCCTGTTGGGACGACCCTCGACATGCAAGTTCCGACTATTAGGCTAAGAGTGAGGGCTTGGCGTTCCATATCAATAATAGAAAGGATTAACGAGTAAGATCAGCTTCAGTGATGATGTTATTTGTATGTGTGAACTCTCCGTGTTCCTCTGTTACTTTTACGAACGTAAAATGCATACATCCATCCTCACACTTCAGCCTCTCTTGTATTCGTTCAAACCTGTTTCACTGTGTTACAATTCACCTCACACTACATTTAGTTCATGTTATTCGTCTTTGGACTTTTTAACGACAGTTCCAGTCTGGGGACAGTAAGTAGTTCGTGTCTTACTTGCTAGCCGAACGTACACTAATTTGCTTTATGGCAAAAATACTATACTGTGTCGACAAACAGTTTAAGTTAGCTCTATGATTCCACTCTTAATCTCACCCTTCCTCGGCAGCACGATCTCAACACTCAATTATGGATATAGTAGTACGGTGAATTGGCGAAGTTTGGAATGAAGTAACTGGTTGGATAATTTGGTACGGATGCATGTGATCCAATATGGTTGTCAGTGTGCGGAAGTCATTTGAACCGGAATGTGAGTGAGTGTGAATGTAGTGAATGAGTTAGTGAACAGATTGATGAGACTCACCTCCGTCCTCGGGCAGTACATTTTGTGATGACAAACTTCCGTCTGTGTTCACTGCTCGCAGTTCAGTTGTTGGTTGTTGAGATGAATCGGTCTGTTCCACGTTTTCTGCTGTAACTAGAGAGAGGAACAATTGAGAGGAAATTGAAAATATGCACATGTGGTAAACATTTCCCTTTGTGTCTGTCTCATTATGGAATAACCGAACAGAACATATTTTTCAGCACTGTGTCAGTTGTGATGTAGTGAGTACTGAATGTTGATACTGAGAATGTGATGCTCACTTGTCAATGAGATGGCCTCAGATGGACCTACGTGATAACAGATTACCGTTTAGCGAGTGCTCACGTAATCCTAGTTGTTCTTGTCTCGAAGTGAGCTGATGGAATGTGGTGCTTATGTACTACAGCTGCTGACACTTCAATTGAATGATTGTATGAAGTTTTGTTTCAGTATACACGTTCAGTTGCAATGGCTAGATGTTTGTTCGCTTTCAGATCGAGTGACAATGCGATCACAGAGCCATTTTGTTAGTGATGGTAGTGTGTGTGCGTCTGAACATGCCGAATGTACTACACAATTGTTGTTCATTTCATCAGAACCGTCAACAATTTGACGAATAACTGTATGGCATAGCTGATTGATATGTCTGTGCTATCGATCATTCTGTCGAGTGGTTCAATAAATCTCGTGGAATGTGGTGGCTCGTGTGTTGCTGATGCACACTGAGCACCATGTGCACTGCATATTCACAATGCACATGGGACACAGATCATCTCGGTCAGTCGAAATGCCACCACATTCGATCGACTGCAACTGGAATCTGTGGATAGGTCGTCCACAAACAATGTACAACCATTTCGAGGTAGGGAGACGCTTCAATGTGACAATGAGCTCCGATTGCAGTCGGCAACCATCGGGATGTCGGAAGAAGTGAACAATACCGTTGGTTGAACAATTTGTAGACATGTTAGGATTGCAAGAATATCTGGTGTATCGAGCCTAGTATTGGATGAGACGCAAAAAAGTGTGATGTGAACCGTCCTCATTCGATGCCTGAAACAGTTGTGATTCGGTAAAAGTATGAAGCACATACAATGTGACTGTCAAAGAGAGACTAACCTTCAGTTGATGGATGCTCAGTTGGCGAAGGCATTGGATGACTTATTGTTTCTGTTTCCGTCTGTGTTGTGCTTCCTCCGTCCTGCTGTCCACCTCCTGTCACATTGTCAGTGGTAACTAGAGAAAAGCATGACACGTGTTTTAAAGTATATAGACAAGTATGCATTTATTCATATTGACTTATATCTTGTCGGCAATCTCATAATTTATCCAATGCTAGTGTACAATACTCTTTCTATATTTCGTCAACGATCCATGTACTTCAACTGCACCATATACTTGTACATGTCGCTTGTAGTAATGGTGTTTCCGAACAAGGTCTGCAATGTTAGGCTTGGAGTGTGATATACTTGTAATCTATCCATCACTCAAAATGAGTCTAACATCAAAAGAGGAAGTAGATTGTGGTTACTGACAAGCAAACATTGATGGTTTGGGCGATGATTCCAATCCACTCATGTTAGTCGGATAGAAGCTGTTGTTTGTCTCAGACCCTTAACGATTAGTGATGAGGCAACCACCGAACGGCATTGAGGTTGTCCTCCGATGTTCGCTACTTCTTTGACTCGTGTTTCCGACCTTGTGTTGGTTTTGACGTCCTGTTGGGACGACCCTCGACATGCAAGTTCCGACTATTAGGCTAAGAGTGAGGGCTTGGCGTTCCATATCAATAATAGAAAGGATTAACGAGTAAGATCAGCTTCAGTGATGATGTTATTTGTATGTGTGAACTCTCCGTGTTCCTCTGTTACTTTTACGAACGTAAAATGCATACATCCATCCTCACACTTCAGCCTCTCTTGTATTCGTTCAAACCTGTTTCACTGTGTTACAATTCACCTCACACTACATTTAGTTCATGTTATTCGTCTTTGGACTTTTTAACGACAGTTCCAGTCTGGGGACAGTAAGTAGTTCGTGTCTTACTTGCTAGCCGAACGTACACTAATTTGCTTTATGGCAAAAATACTATACTGTGTCGACAAACAGTTTAAGTTAGCTCTATGATTCCACTCTTAATCTCACCCTTCCTCGGCAGCACGATCTCAACACTCAATTATGGATATAGTAGTACGGTGAATTGGCGAAGTTTGGAATGAAGTAACTGGTTGGATAATTTGGTACGGATGCATGTGATCCAATATGGTTGTCAGTGTGCGGAAGTCATTTGAACCGGAATGTGAGTGAGTGTGAATGTAGTGAATGAGTTAGTGAACAGATTGATGAGACTCACCTCCGTCCTCGGGCAGTACATTTTGTGATGACAAACTTCCGTCTGTGTTCACTGCTCGCAGTTCAGTTGTTGGTTGTTGAGATGAATCGGTCTGTTCCACGTTTTCTGCTGTAACTAGAGAGAGGAACAATTGAGAGGAAATTGAAAATATGCACATGTGGTAAACATTTCCCTTTGTGTCTGTCTCATTATGGAATAACCGAACAGAACATATTTTTCAGCACTGTGTCAGTTGTGATGTAGTGAGTACTGAATGTTGATACTGAGAATGTGATGCTCACTTGTCAATGAGATGGCCTCAGATGGACCTACGTGATAACAGATTACCGTTTAGCGAGTGCTCACGTAATCCTAGTTGTTCTTGTCTCGAAGTGAGCTGATGGAATGTGGTGCTTATGTACTACAGCTGCTGACACTTCAATTGAATGATTGTATGAAGTTTTGTTTCAGTATACACGTTCAGTTGCAATGGCTAGATGTTTGTTCGCTTTCAGATCGAGTGACAATGCGATCACAGAGCCATTTTGTTAGTGATGGTAGTGTGTGTGCGTCTGAACATGCCGAATGTACTACACAATTGTTGTTCATTTCATCAGAACCGTCAACAATTTGACGAATAACTGTATGGCATAGCTGATTGATATGTCTGTGCTATCGATCATTCTGTCGAGTGGTTCAATAAATCTCGTGGAATGTGGTGGCTCGTGTGTTGCTGATGCACACTGAGCACCATGTGCACTGCATATTCACAATGCACATGGGACACAGATCATCTCGGTCAGTCGAAATGCCACCACATTCGATCGACTGCAACTGGAATCTGTGGATAGGTCGTCCACAAACAATGTACAACCATTTCGAGGTAGGGAGACGCTTCAATGTGACAATGAGCTCCGATTGCAGTCGGCAACCATCGGGATGTCGGGAGAAGTGAACAATACCGTTGGTTGAACAATTTGTAGACATGTTAGGATTGCAAGAATATCTGGTGTATCGAGCCTAGTATTGGATGAGACGCAAAAAAGTGTGATGTGAACCGTCCTCATTCGATGCCTGAAACAGTTGTGATTCGGTAAAAGTATGAAGCACATACAATGTGACTGTCAAAGAGAGACTAACCTTCAGTTGATGGATGCTCAGTTGGCGAAGGCATTGGATGACTTATTGTTTCTGTTTCCGTCTGTGTTGTGCTTCCTCCGTCCTGCTGTCCACCTCCTGTCACATTGTCAGTGGTAACTAGAGAAAAGCATGACACGTGTTTTAAAGTATATAGACAAGTATGCATTTATTCATATTGACTTATATCTTGTCGGCAATCTCATAATTTATCCAATGCTAGTGTACAATACTCTTTCTATATTTCGTCAACGATCCATGTACTTCAACTGCACCATATACTTGTACATGTCGCTTGTAGTAATGGTGTTTCCGAACAAGGTCTGCAATGTTAGGCTTGGAGTGTGATATACTTGTAATCTATCCATCACTCAAAATGAGTCTAACATCAAAAGAGGAAGTAGATTGTGGTTACTGACAAGCAAACATTGATGGTTTGGGCGATGATTCCAATCCACTCATGTTAGTCGGATAGAAGCTGTTGTTTGTCTCAGACCCTTAACGATTAGTGATGAGGCAACCACCGAACGGCATTGAGGTTGTCCTCCGATGTTCGCTACTTCTTTGACTCGTGTTTCCGACCTTGTGTTGGTTTTGACGTCCTGTTGGGACGACCCTCGACATGCAAGTTCCGACTATTAGGCTAAGAGTGAGGGCTTGGCGTTCCATATCAATAATAGAAAGGATTAACGAGTAAGATCAGCTTCAGTGATGATGTTATTTGTATGTGTGAACTCTCCGTGTTCCTCTGTTACTTTTACGAACGTAAAATGCATACATCCATCCTCACACTTCAGCCTCTCTTGTATTCGTTCAAACCTGTTTCACTGTGTTACAATTCACCTCACACTACATTTAGTTCATGTTATTCGTCTTTGGACTTTTTAACGACAGTTCCAGTCTGGGGACAGTAAGTAGTTCGTGTCTTACTTGCTAGCCGAACGTACACTAATTTGCTTTATGGCAAAAATACTATACTGTGTCGACAAACAGTTTAAGTTAGCTCTATGATTCCACTCTTAATCTCACCCTTCCTCGGCAGCACGATCTCAACACTCAATTATGGATATAGTAGTACGGTGAATTGGCGAAGTTTGGAATGAAGTAACTGGTTGGATAATTTGGTACGGATGCATGTGATCCAATATGGTTGTCAGTGTGCGGAAGTCATTTGAACCGGAATGTGAGTGAGTGTGAATGTAGTGAATGAGTTAGTGAACAGATTGATGAGACTCACCTCCGTCCTCGGGCAGTACATTTTGTGATGACAAACTTCCGTCTGTGTTCACTGCTCGCAGTTCAGTTGTTGGTTGTTGAGATGAATCGGTCTGTTCCACGTTTTCTGCTGTAACTAGAGAGAGGAACAATTGAGAGGAAATTGAAAATATGCACATGTGGTAAACATTTCCCTTTGTGTCTGTCTCATTATGGAATAACCGAACAGAACATATTTTTCAGCACTGTGTCAGTTGTGATGTAGTGAGTACTGAATGTTGATACTGAGAATGTGATGCTCACTTGTCAATGAGATGGCCTCAGATGGACCTACGTGATAACAGATTACCGTTTAGCGAGTGCTCACGTAATCCTAGTTGTTCTTGTCTCGAAGTGAGCTGATGGAATGTGGTGCTTATGTACTACAGCTGCTGACACTTCAATTGAATGATTGTATGAAGTTTTGTTTCAGTATACACGTTCAGTTGCAATGGCTAGATGTTTGTTCGCTTTCAGATCGAGTGACAATGCGATCACAGAGCCATTTTGTTAGTGATGGTAGTGTGTGTGCGTCTGAACATGCCGAATGTACTACACAATTGTTGTTCATTTCATCAGAACCGTCAACAATTTGACGAATAACTGTATGGCATAGCTGATTGATATGTCTGTGCTATCGATCATTCTGTCGAGTGGTTCAATAAATCTCGTGGAATGTGGTGGCTCGTGTGTTGCTGATGCACACTGAGCACCATGTGCACTGCATATTCACAATGCACATGGGACACAGATCATCTCGGTCAGTCGAAATGCCACCACATTCGATCGACTGCAACTGGAATCTGTGGATAGGTCGTCCACAAACAATGTACAACCATTTCGAGGTAGGGAGACGCTTCAATGTGACAATGAGCTCCGATTGCAGTCGGCAACCATCGGGATGTCGGAAGAAGTGAACAATACCGTTGGTTGAACAATTTGTAGACATGTTAGGATTGCAAGAATATCTGGTGTATCGAGCCTAGTATTGGATGAGACGCAAAAAAGTGTGATGTGAACCGTCCTCATTCGATGCCTGAAACAGTTGTGATTCGGTAAAAGTATGAAGCACATACAATGTGACTGTCAAAGAGAGACTAACCTTCAGTTGATGGATGCTCAGTTGGCGAAGGCATTGGATGACTTATTGTTTCTGTTTCCGTCTGTGTTGTGCTTCCTCCGTCCTGCTGTCCACCTCCTGTCACATTGTCAGTGGTAACTAGAGAAAAGCATGACACGTGTTTTAAAGTATATAGACAAGTATGCATTTATTCATATTGACTTATATCTTGTCGGCAATCTCATAATTTATCCAATGCTAGTGTACAATACTCTTTCTATATTTCGTCAACGATCCATGTACTTCAACTGCACCATATACTTGTACATGTCGCTTGTAGTAATGGTGTTTCCGAACAAGGTCTGCAATGTTAGGCTTGGAGTGTGATATACTTGTAATCTATCCATCACTCAAAATGAGTCTAACATCAAAAGAGGAAGTAGATTGTGGTTACTGACAAGCAAACATTGATGGTTTGGGCGATGATTCCAATCCACTCATGTTAGTCGGATAGAAGCTGTTGTTTGTCTCAGACCCTTAACGATTAGTGATGAGGCAACCACCGAACGGCATTGAGGTTGTCCTCCGATGTTCGCTACTTCTTTGACTCGTGTTTCCGACCTTGTGTTGGTTTTGACGTCCTGTTGGGACGACCCTCGACATGCAAGTTCCGACTATTAGGCTAAGAGTGAGGGCTTGGCGTTCCATATCAATAATAGAAAGGATTAACGAGTAAGATCAGCTTCAGTGATGATGTTATTTGTATGTGTGAACTCTCCGTGTTCCTCTGTTACTTTTACGAACGTAAAATGCATACATCCATCCTCACACTTCAGCCTCTCTTGTATTCGTTCAAACCTGTTTCACTGTGTTACAATTCACCTCACACTACATTTAGTTCATGTTATTCGTCTTTGGACTTTTTAACGACAGTTCCAGTCTGGGGACAGTAAGTAGTTCGTGTCTTACTTGCTAGCCGAACGTACACTAATTTGCTTTATGGCAAAAATACTATACTGTGTCGACAAACAGTTTAAGTTAGCTCTATGATTCCACTCTTAATCTCACCCTTCCTCGGCAGCACGATCTCAACACTCAATTATGGATATAGTAGTACGGTGAATTGGCGAAGTTTGGAATGAAGTAACTGGTTGGATAATTTGGTACGGATGCATGTGATCCAATATGGTTGTCAGTGTGCGGAAGTCATTTGAACCGGAATGTGAGTGAGTGTGAATGTAGTGAATGAGTTAGTGAACAGATTGATGAGACTCACCTCCGTCCTCGGGCAGTACATTTTGTGATGACAAACTTCCGTCTGTGTTCACTGCTCGCAGTTCAGTTGTTGGTTGTTGAGATGAATCGGTCTGTTCCACGTTTTCTGCTGTAACTAGAGAGAGGAACAATTGAGAGGAAATTGAAAATATGCACATGTGGTAAACATTTCCCTTTGTGTCTGTCTCATTATGGAATAACCGAACAGAACATATTTTTCAGCACTGTGTCAGTTGTGATGTAGTGAGTACTGAATGTTGATACTGAGAATGTGATGCTCACTTGTCAATGAGATGGCCTCAGATGGACCTACGTGATAACAGATTACCGTTTAGCGAGTGCTCACGTAATCCTAGTTGTTCTTGTCTCGAAGTGAGCTGATGGAATGTGGTGCTTATGTACTACAGCTGCTGACACTTCAATTGAATGATTGTATGAAGTTTTGTTTCAGTATACACGTTCAGTTGCAATGGCTAGATGTTTGTTCGCTTTCAGATCGAGTGACAATGCGATCACAGAGCCATTTTGTTAGTGATGGTAGTGTGTGTGCGTCTGAACATGCCGAATGTACTACACAATTGTTGTTCATTTCATCAGAACCGTCAACAATTTGACGAATAACTGTATGGCATAGCTGATTGATATGTCTGTGCTATCGATCATTCTGTCGAGTGGTTCAATAAATCTCGTGGAATGTGGTGGCTCGTGTGTTGCTGATGCACACTGAGCACCATGTGCACTGCATATTCACAATGCACATGGGACACAGATCATCTCGGTCAGTCGAAATGCCACCACATTCGATCGACTGCAACTGGAATCTGTGGATAGGTCGTCCACAAACAATGTACAACCATTTCGAGGTAGGGAGACGCTTCAATGTGACAATGAGCTCCGATTGCAGTCGGCAACCATCGGGATGTCGGGAGAAGTGAACAATACCGTTGGTTGAACAATTTGTAGACATGTTAGGATTGCAAGAATATCTGGTGTATCGAGCCTAGTATTGGATGAGACGCAAAAAAGTGTGATGTGAACCGTCCTCATTCGATGCCTGAAACAGTTGTGATTCGGTAAAAGTATGAAGCACATACAATGTGACTGTCAAAGAGAGACTAACCTTCAGTTGATGGATGCTCAGTTGGCGAAGGCATTGGATGACTTATTGTTTCTGTTTCCGTCTGTGTTGTGCTTCCTCCGTCCTGCTGTCCACCTCCTGTCACATTGTCAGTGGTAACTAGAGAAAAGCATGACACGTGTTTTAAAGTATATAGACAAGTATGCATTTATTCATATTGACTTATATCTTGTCGGCAATCTCATAATTTATCCAATGCTAGTGTACAATACTCTTTCTATATTTCGTCAACGATCCATGTACTTCAACTGCACCATATACTTGTACATGTCGCTTGTAGTAATGGTGTTTCCGAACAAGGTCTGCAATGTTAGGCTTGGAGTGTGATATACTTGTAATCTATCCATCACTCAAAATGAGTCTAACATCAAAAGAGGAAGTAGATTGTGGTTACTGACAAGCAAACATTGATGGTTTGGGCGATGATTCCAATCCACTCATGTTAGTCGGATAGAAGCTGTTGTTTGTCTCAGACCCTTAACGATTAGTGATGAGGCAACCACCGAACGGCATTGAGGTTGTCCTCCGATGTTCGCTACTTCTTTGACTCGTGTTTCCGACCTTGTGTTGGTTTTGACGTCCTGTTGGGACGACCCTCGACATGCAAGTTCCGACTATTAGGCTAAGAGTGAGGGCTTGGCGTTCCATATCAATAATAGAAAGGATTAACGAGTAAGATCAGCTTCAGTGATGATGTTATTTGTATGTGTGAACTCTCCGTGTTCCTCTGTTACTTTTACGAACGTAAAATGCATACATCCATCCTCACACTTCAGCCTCTCTTGTATTCGTTCAAACCTGTTTCACTGTGTTACAATTCACCTCACACTACATTTAGTTCATGTTATTCGTCTTTGGACTTTTTAACGACAGTTCCAGTCTGGGGACAGTAAGTAGTTCGTGTCTTACTTGCTAGCCGAACGTACACTAATTTGCTTTATGGCAAAAATACTATACTGTGTCGACAAACAGTTTAAGTTAGCTCTATGATTCCACTCTTAATCTCACCCTTCCTCGGCAGCACGATCTCAACACTCAATTATGGATATAGTAGTACGGTGAATTGGCGAAGTTTGGAATGAAGTAACTGGTTGGATAATTTGGTACGGATGCATGTGATCCAATATGGTTGTCAGTGTGCGGAAGTCATTTGAACCGGAATGTGAGTGAGTGTGAATGTAGTGAATGAGTTAGTGAACAGATTGATGAGACTCACCTCCGTCCTCGGGCAGTACATTTTGTGATGACAAACTTCCGTCTGTGTTCACTGCTCGCAGTTCAGTTGTTGGTTGTTGAGATGAATCGGCCTGTTCCACGTTTTCTGCTGTAACTAGAGAGAGGAACAATTGAGAGGAAATTGAAAATATGCACATGTGGTAAACATTTCCCTTTGTGTCTGTCTCATTATGGAATAACCGAACAGAACATATTTTTCAGCACTGTGTCAGTTGTGATGTAGTGAGTACTGAATGTTGATACTGAGAATGTGATGCTCACTTGTCAATGAGATGGCCTCAGATGGACCTACGTGATAACAGATTACCGTTTAGCGAGTGCTCACGTAATCCTAGTTGTTCTTGTCTCGAAGTGAGCTGATGGAATGTGGTGCTTATGTACTACAGCTGCTGACACTTCAATTGAATGATTGTATGAAGTTTTGTTTCAGTATACACGTTCAGTTGCAATGGCTAGATGTTTGTTCGCTTTCAGATCGAGTGACAATGCGATCACAGAGCCATTTTGTTAGTGATGGTAGTGTGTGTGCGTCTGAACATGCCGAATGTACTACACAATTGTTGTTCATTTCATCAGAACCGTCAACAATTTGACGAATAACTGTATGGCATAGCTGATTGATATGTCTGTGCTATCGATCATTCTGTCGAGTGGTTCAATAAATCTCGTGGAATGTGGTGACTCGTGTGTTGCTGATGCACACTGAGCACCATGTGCACTGCATATTCACAATACACATGGGACACAGATCATCTCGGTCAGTCGAAATGCCATCACATTCGATCGACTGCAACTGGAATCTGTGGATAGGTCGTCCACAAACAATGTACAACTATTTCTAGGTTGGGAGACGCTTCATTGTGATAATGATTTGCTGTTTCATTCCTTATAGAAGGCGATTTTGTGACATGTTTTTTCTACATTTCTAATGAAAATTCTTTTCTGTTTTTCCTCTTGTTATTATGCCTTTTTGCCTCTTCGTTTTTAATGTTTTTATGTTTTTATTCATTTTTTGTTTTTTATGATTGTTTCTTGCTTACCTGCTTTTGTGTTTACGTTCTCATCTATTCGGTATCTTGGTTTTACTACCATTGTGTCGATTGTAACTGAAAAAATAATCAACATAAACTTCAATTTATTTCATTAGAACATATTTTGTTCTCACTAGGTTGTGAACAAGAAGTCACATAAGGATAATCGATTGTTTTTCAATATAAAATTACAGAGCTCTTTAATAAAATGTGAAAACTCATCCATTGAATACTTCATTCCCAGGTTTCCATCAATTATCCTTCATATTCTGTATGATTCTTCCAATTCACAATAGCTTTCTATGTGCTCGTTTGTTGTTTTGTTTTCAATTTAATATTTTTAGCCTTCTGTTGCTATGCATTTCAGTTCTGATTGGTGTTATATACTATTTATATCCTTCGATATAAGTAGCATACACTACAACCATAACTTATACACCATAGTTTCCATTAGTTTTCATGTGGTTATGTAAGTAGGTTTACAAAATACATTTATTAATAGTATCATTACTGTTATGGTTTTCATTGCTGTTATGGACTATCATGATTTACATTCTTATTGTGCAATCTTTACCTAACTGAGTTATTTAATGTCTTTTTCTGTTTACCGTAGGCTTCCATTTGACTCAATAATTATTACTATACATATTACTATTAAAAGCTACACCTTGCATGATTCACTATCACATTTGACCTGTTCTTGTATAACTCCGCCTGAAGCCCCTCTTGGGCTACTGCCCATCCCAAGCCCGGATAAAGGAGGACGATTGGGTATGGGGTTTGCGACCCCATCCTGTAGAAAACTAACTCGCCGGAAAAATGCTAAATAGAAAAATTATTCAAGTAAGTGTATAACTATAATGTTCTTTTTGATAATGTGATATAGTCTAATATTTGTGTATATAAATTCATGAATGCTTGGATTGATAATAACAGAAAGTTAATTGATGTCTTTTTTGTTTTTTTTGCTTGAACTTAGGTCTAGGAATCAAGTGGTCAATAGAGTATAATCAGGGAGGGGTTTTATGGATATTATATTAATTCAATTTTTGAATTCAAGCTAGGCGGATGGTGGCGCAACTTCGTGCACCTGTTGAAGTTAGACATTAACACCGTTGGATGCCGGCCAGCTCAGTGGTCGACAAGTTAAGTGCTCGCACGCGAGACTGATAAATCCTGGGTTTGAATCTCACGGGGCGGGGTGGTGGATATGCACGTCTGAGGAGTCCAATACGCCTGTCTAGTGCTCGGAGGTTTTCCATGGTAATCTAGCTTCAATTGACTAATGAATTCAACTATTAAATGATCAATATAGGTTTGATATACATAAGCTTCAAGTAAAGAACAATGGTATTAATTGGATGAAATAGGAATTCGAATTGGCGAATTCTTACCATTCACTTTAAGTTGGATGATTTTCAAGGATAATATTTCGCTATTACGAACATAATCAGATTTTAAATGATCCATTATTGAATCGATATTTAGATTTTGTGCATTAGGATATAAAAACCTCACTGACAGCGCGGCTGTCACTCCACCAAACACTTGAGATTCTGTAATAGGAATATTTACTTTAGAAAGTATAACTTTTCCAAAATCTCCATCATCGGATCCTGGAGGAATAGCCAGTTTAACCAATTTTTTAATCTAAATAATAACATTGATATATTTCATGTGTAACATATTTATCAGAGTTCGATATTAAAAATTCAAATTTATTAAGATTATTCTCTGAAAATAATAATGAGTTAGTGAATACCTTCGTTCGTGGTTAGGAAATGGTACCGTCGGAACAATACACAGTTCTGTTCTATCACACTTGATCGATAGTGGTCATGTAGTAGACAGAAATAGATCATTTAAAGTGAATTGTCGTATTCCTACTAGTTATCTTTATGGGGTTCGATCTCGTCTCTTACACATAACAGAAAATATAGGAATTACAGCTAACCATCCAAGTCTTTGTGTTCATAAGAAATTTATAACACCTTTATTTCTCCCTTGGCCTTATTAAATGGTTTTATTTGTTATTATTTTCCATACTCTTTGTTAACTTATTTTTCTTCACCCCTTCCAACACTTTTCTTTTTTTCCAAATATACGCTTTATTCTAAGTAAAAATGAATAGTGGTTAGTAGTGAAATCCAGTTTCACGCGCATTTCATCCTATTTGAGATTCGTCATCTTAATTTACCTGCATCTCAGAGTTGATGTTCACTCTGAGACTCGAACCCAGTACCGTTCACTTTAACTACTACTGAGTCGTGATATCCATTTGCTTGTGCAATGATGTGAAGTTTAAATACACTTGGTGTTGTTTATTTGTGTCCTTCCATTGTTATTTAGGACTGTAATTGATCAGTCTCTTATTGACATATAACCTTATTGTTTGCCATGAATATTCATTATACATGATAAATAATAAAAATGAACATTACCAAACGACGAATTGTAATAGATAGTTGTATGTATTCATTTGAATTAGAATTTTCATAAATAGGATTCCATTTGATCAGTTGATCTGTTTTTGCATTTGCCAATAAAGCTCCATTAATTTGAATATCCACTACTGAAGAAAAAATAAATTAAAATACCGGTTTAAATATAATACAATAATAATCTTATGAGATAGACAATCAATTGTAGAATATTGATGACGTGTAGTTACTCCTTTAAACAGTAGTACTTATTATTCTGATACTGTAGACTATTGTTATGATTTGTGACTTCTGTGACTTGTTAATATTATCACTTAATGATATCGTTAATTAGAGAAAGAGCAATGAATTATCGATCGGACCAATGACACCTAAAACCCGTATGAACAGTCTAGAGTACTTATTGATCCTGCTTCTTGACTAGCCCAGCCAGTTAAGTCCAGAACACCAATCTCAGCCTCTGCGATATGAATCATTTATTTCAAGTATACTGAGTTTATATACCAGACAAACAGACCACATTGTACCATAAAATAGAAAACAACATTTATACAAGGTTTGGCCAAATGTGGCTGTGAATGTAAGAGGTAGTAATTAATAGACAGGGCATAATTCAAGAATGGTAAATCGTATAATAACACTTCATAGGTCAAAATAAATCTCATAATAAGAGGGATATGAATATGAATAGTTTAGTTACTTAACAATTCTACGATAAATATATACGCATAGTATTGGTCCATAAATAGATTCCAAGAGTTACCATTCAGTATTCTTATCGGGATATACCAACTATACTGATGTTTGTGTATTACTATTTATCAGAATGGGGTTTTTATGAAGATTGTAGTGATTTGAATAGTTGAATTCATGGGTGACGCAAAATCATGGATCGGTTGAAGTTAGACATTAATACCATCGGATGTCGGTCATCTCAGTGATCGAGAGGTTAGGAGTTCGCGCGCGAGACCGATAGCCCCTGGGTTCGAGTCCCACATGTGAGATTATGGATGTGCACTGCTGAGAAATTCCATACTAGGATAAAACGATCGCTCAGTGCTTCCAGGTTTTCGATGATGAATCCAACTATTAAAATAATACTGTTTAGTTCAAGAATTAGTTGCAAACCATATATTGAATTGAACAGTAGTGTGCTTCACTCCACAGATTAGTTCTCTTATGTTTTACTTAGAATTAGTTGACAAGCTATTAGATTCTTTACATTCACCTTATAATGATGAACTGAACATTGAAAAGTATACAGTCTATTTATGGAAAGTTTTGTTTACAATATTGTGTTATATAAATTCACTTGGTGTTGTTTACTTGTATCTTTCCATTGTTTTTTGAACTGCAATTGATCAGTCTTTTTTGGCATATGCGCATCCTGTGTGGACTACCTTGATATGGTGTTAGGTCAAAAGTTTCATGAACAAACATGGAAAGTGGTTAACAGTGGAATTAAGAACGCAGGTTTCGTCTTATTTGACACTCGTCATCTGGATGTACCTGCATCTCAGAATTGGTGTTCACTCTGAGACTCGAACCCAGTACCGTTCACTTCAAACGCCATTGCATTATCCACTTTAGCTACTGCTGAGTCATGATAGCCACTTGCTTGTGCAATGATGTGAAGTTTAAATACACTTGGTGTTGTTTACTTGTGTCTTTCCATTGTCGTTTAGGATTGCAATTGATCAGTTTCTTATTGGTATATGTGCATCCTTTGTGGACTGCATTGATATTGCTTTAAGTCATAAGCTTTATAAACAAAGACGGATAGTTTGATGACGCGTGTTTTGTCCTATTTGGAACTCGTCATCTGGATGTACCTGCATCTCGTTGTGAAACGATACTACGATGAACAAATCATACACTTCATTTGATTGAGAATAGTTGTATTTTGTAGCATTTTTTAAAACAATCTTCCTTTAAATTTATCTCTCAAATGTTTTGTGTCATATGACTGAAATAAGCAATCCACACGGTATTTGCGTAAGATATCTATCTGAAATATTTCCACTCTCATCTAGTCTTTTGGAATTCCATTATGTATGATATTTCATACATCTACTTACAGTTGTTCAAAAACGCATACATGTAATTACTAAAGCATGATAGCCCCCAAGTGCCCTAGTACGGCCGAGGGTGGGGTGAGTCAGCTCTCCCTCTCCAAATGCTCTCAAATAGCTGCGAATATACAGCCACTGTCAGGGAAGTCCTAATCACTGCCTTCTCGTGGTGGGGGTGTTGTCTACGATGTTGAGAGGAGAAAAACCTTTAGACGGGTTGGTGGGTATGGAGGATCCACATAGGGGAGTAGCAATACCCTGATTCCAAACCAATGTTTCACATGGGCTCCAAGATGCTGAGCGAACAAATGGCGTATGTAGCGACTATTGATCACTGGCTACCATGGGACTGCATCTCCTGACGTTGCTCCACTGCATTGTGGATTAGAACTTCGGGTCAAAGGCTCCGGATGTGGCCTCCTAAGAAAACCACCTGCATTGAGCACTTGGGCAGTATCATAATCCACACACAAATCAAGTGGTTTTTGTGGCACATATATATTCGGTGCCATTTTGTAACAATATTCATGTGTTCCTTTTTATATCATGATCTCGAAAATAATGTTATTGAATATGTTGGAAGATTTACAAAAATATCCCTCGTCAAAATTCATAGGGGTTCAAAAATTCCAGAAAACGCTTTATCCAATTAGTATTGGATAGAATCTTTGCAAACATATCTAGAAAATACAGAACAACGTTCCATAGTTCTGATTGGATACTGACCTATGGCTGTTACTATAGTTATCAAAGTTCCAGAAATTTTCAGAAGCTTAAAACCGTGTGTAACCATCTAAATACTCTTGTTTTTCTGTATATTTTCTAAGCGTATAGTAAAGAGTTCTTCATACAATCTACTCCTTTTACTTTTGTGTAGATTTATCCTGGGTTTTTTTAATGAGCTGTTGGGAAATCGGATTGAGTGTTCATTTAAGTAATGAGTTCAAACAATTTATGTCAGTACCAGATGCTTTAATCTTTCAGTGTCATTATAATCTGATAATAGTTAATAATTCAAATGCTCAGATAAATCATATTATTGTATGTACTACTAATGTTAACAGATATAAGTAGTATATATCATCAATCGAAAATGAAATACCTGACGGCAGAAGATAAAGAAGATTAAAGAAAAGAGAACTAAAACTAAGAATAATTGATGGGGAAACAAAAGAACAATGAAGTCTGAAACATTTGACTGACATTTTGCAAATGAACTATTAACTGTATAAATTCACTTGGTGTTGGTATACTGGTATCTTCCTATTGTTGTTAAGGACTGCAATTGATCAGTCTCTCTTATTACCATATGTGCATCCTGTACGGACTGCCTTGATATTATCTTAAGTCATAAGTTTTATAAGCAAAGATGGATAGTGTTTAGCAGTTGGAATTCAGTTTAATGCTCGTTTCGTCCTATTCAGGACTCATCAACTGGATGTATGGTTCTTAGATTTGACTAAAAGCTTCTGTAATTTTGCATTCAAACACATTTGATTGTGATCGTTTGTATTCTCGTTCACTAAAATACTAGTTCATCATTGAAATAATACAATCTATGATATTATTTATGTTAATATGATGATGAAATAAATAAAAAAAACAAATGCATTCCATGGAATCACTGAAGTAATAACCAAAACAACAACAATTTACCAGTTTTTCCAATGCCAGTAAGTCCATTAGATGATTGTTGAACTTTAGGTTTATCAACAGATGGTGATCGATTTGACAATATTTGAGCATTATATACTACTGATAAAATATTCATTATGATGAGTAGTTTCATTTCTATGAAAATAAATATGATCACTAGGGTTATACAATATAATTAAAATGAACTCATTGTATCCTTGAATAAAAATTATTAAAAAAACAAAACAACAACAGCCAGAATTCAAAGAGGAAAATTTTCCCTTCGACGAAATGGTTTCTTTTTTCTTATTTTTTGATCGATCGCGACGATCAATATTGATTGATCAACAGTTTAGATGTTAACAGTTCAGGAATCGATATGTGAATAATGTCTATTCTTTACGATACATATTGGCAGTAACCATGATGTATCTGACGAGTTTGTTTTGTAACTTGTACAGTGGAATGTAATCTTTTCATAAACATCAGTCAGTCAGTCAGCTACAACGTAGGCCAAAGTACATATATTCATCGTTAAAAGTTGCCATATCTCATTAGCACAACAAGATGAACACTGGATTCATAGAAGTGGTTGTTTCAACGGTAGTAATATATAAAAGAAGGATTGTGTATAAGGATATAGTACAGATAGAAAGAATTATTTGGTAGAAAAAAGATAAAGCAGCTTTAATCGCATAGTTTAAGGTAAGACAGAGAGTGTATACACCTACGCCATTGTGATCGATTCTGAGCCATGTCACCAAGAGTCTCCAACTATTGGTTACGATAGTCGCATGGACCCCGACCAAGTAGTCTGCATCTACCAACATGGCTCAGACCAGAAGTTAGTGACTTCAAGCACTGATGCCACATTTTCATAAATATACCTGAATAGGTTATGAGACTAATAAGCATAATGATGATGAGTTGAAATAAACAAGGAAACACATAACTTGTTGAAATATCTAGATAACAGGAATAGGTAGCCCAGTTGTTTAAGCAGGTCATCGAAATAATTCAAGACTCTTATTATCAAATGAGGTTATGTAATAATCAAGGGCTAAGAGAAGAATATAAGGATGAAAATAATTTACAGATCAGAATTATGAAAGATAGTTGTCCAATTCACAAATATGTGGGGTAGCTTACATTGACCGCACAAAACGACCACTTTCTAAACGCATTTTACATTATTACTAGTTCAACACAGGAGCATATAATCAAATATTGACAAATCACTCCGGTGGAATCTTCTCTTAAAATAATCTACACATTCAAAGGAATTGAATAGTAGGGAGGTCGAGTTAAAAACTCATACACTGCTGAGGCATTGGCAATCCACCAACTCAAGCCCGAACTCTATGTGCCAAACCAATGCGTCTAACCTTTCATCCTGCCTTGCACCTAATTCACTTTCGTGGTATGTTTTGGGTTATTATTATTATTTGATTTTTAAAGTTAGTGTTTCGTAAGTTCAAACCGTAATCAGTTATTATTCCCTTAAATGGACAATTATATTTCATAATTCTGATCCATATATTATTCCCGTCCTCCTATTCTTTTCTAATCCCCCTGATTATTACGTAACCTCATTTGATAATAAGAGTCTTGATTCAATTTGTGATACAATCTTTTCTATGCTTCTATAGACACATATATTTGATTTAAATGGTTGAATTCATGAGTCAACTGAAGTTAGACCATTATGGAAAAACTGAAAGCACTGGAAGACCCTTTCGTTCTATTGCGTTGCTCATCAACAGTGTGCATCCACAATCCCGCCTCTCGAGACTTGAACGCGGAACCTATCGGTCGCGCATGTGAACGCTTAACCTGTCAACCACTGAGCTGGCCGATATCCAACGGCGTTAATGTCTAACTTCAACTAATCCACAAATTGAGCGACATATCCACCAATGTCTTCAGTGAGTTACTATCTCATAACAGTCTCGGTTGAACATCAGTGCTTCCATTATTACTGTTCACGTCTTACTATTTTATTAACGAAGATAGTATACATTACTATCCATTATGTTATCATCAAAAAGGATTGTTGATTTGAGTAGACGACATTTCATCTATTAATCGATATAACTAATTAAGGATGCTCTCAATTTTTCTGAAGTTTAAACAATGCGACGATAATTCATGGACGACCTTTAAGCGAATCTAAAGTGACCTTGAAATTGTCCACCTACTCACTAGAGCTAAATGAGGGTTATGAATCAGTGTGTTAGGAATGAGAATTATGATTTACAATTTCTATCACAAACTGACATCAGCCTAAATGCCAAAATCATATTCAACCAAATTAATGAATGAATTTCATGCCAAAATCCAAGATTCATTTATCTTATATCTAATTAGTTCGTTCATAAATTATAATCTCGCTATTTAGTAGTAGTATCTGGTAGCTGACATTCTTTTCAATCACATTTAAGTACAGATTATATCCCTCAAGACATGTATCATATCATACATTCATATGTGAGAACATTTTCTGATAATTATCTGAAAGCGGGTTTTGTGGAGATATTAGTCATTTCAATAGTTGATATCATGAATCAATTGAAGCTAGATCATTATGAAAAATCTGGAAGCACTGAACTGTCATTTCGTCCTAGTATGAGATTCTTCAGCAGTACGTATCTACGATCTTGATTGCTAGATTTAACATCACAAACTCATGTGAATCAGTCAGTCAGTCAGTCAATTACAACGTAGGATCAGGCATATATATATCGGTCCAAGTTGCTACACCTCATTGGCACAACAAGATGAACATCAAATTCATAGAAGTAGTTACTTCAATGGTAGTAATATATAAAAGAAGGATTGTGTATAAGGATATAATACAGGAAGAAAGAATTAGTTTGTAGAAGGTAAAGTATAAAATAATTTTATTCTCATGATTTAAGAGAAGACAAAGAATGTATACACCTACACCATTTCGATCGATTTTGAGCCATATCATCCGGAGTCTCCGACCATTGATTACGATAGTCAGCGTAGATCTCAAAGTTAGACAATCATTGAAAATCTGAAAGATAATGAAAGACTATCTTTGGTGTTGAATTACTATACATTGGAAATCATGGATGAAAAGGATATAATAAATAGTTAGATTCCGAATAAATTACTGTGTTCTTGAACAGACCAAAATTGTATAAGAGAACACTTTAATGTAACGTAGAATAAGATACAAAAAATAACATAAATTGTATTGGCAAAATATTTAAACAGTAATAATCAGAAAGGGGGTTTTGTGGAGATTTTTAGTAATTTTATAGTTGAATTCATGAGTTAGATATTAATATCATTGAATACCGACCAGCTCAATGGTCAACAGGTTAAGCGTTCGCGTGCTAGACCGATAGGTCTTGAGTTTGAATCTGGCAGGTCAGGATCGTGGACACACATTGCTGAGGAGTCTCATACTATGACGAAACACCCGTCCAGTGCTTCCATGTTTTTCATGATGGTCTTATGAATCTAACTATAAAGTCACTAATAATCATCGAATGGATAATAATAATAATAATAATAATAATAATAATAATAATAATAATAATAATAATAATAAAGAACTTACTTGGAACTGTTGAAATGTGTAAATATGTACAGAAGAATGTTTGTTATTCACAGTTGCGTACTGATTCTAATGAGACTATTCTGTCGTCTTTATAAACCATATAGGTTTATATACATATATATATATATATTAATATATGTTGCTACATTTATTTGCCAATAAACAACCTAAGTATGTGTGTGTGTGTGTGTAAGTTGAATAACAGATTTCTGCATACTACGCAACTATAACCGATGTTTCAACCAACAATTTTTTTAAAAAGAAATAGAAAGCTATATCACGGTTACGATAGCGACTGAAGTTAGTGACCAGAATCAGTCAAAATCAAGAGTTAGACAATTATGAGAGGAAGTGATAATTCAGTACAGAATAATAGTAATAGTTCTTTTACTGTACATGTTGATTGAAACGTTTGACATTAACTGATTCTGAACCCATCTGAGGATATGTTCTATAACTCTTTATTGTATTCTTCAATTATTCTTCCTAGTGTATGTGTGCATTGTCTAGGTGTATTTGGATTCATGAAATTAGTCGTTTCAATTACAATTAGTTTAGTAGAGTAATATCTTTTCTTGATGACTGCATTTAATCTCTGTCTTAAAATCACGTTAGTATCATAAGGGGTTTTGTGGAGATTATAGTAATTTCAATAGTTGAAATCAAGAGTCAATTGAAGCTAGACCACCATGGAAAACCGAGAAGCACTAGACGGCCGTTTCATCCTACTGTGGGACTCCTCAGCAGTGAGCGTCTACGACGCCACCTCGCGGAATCCGAACCCAGGACCTATCAATCTCGCGCGTGAGCGCTTAACCACTAGACTACTGAGCTGATCAGCATCCAACGGTGTTAATGTCTAACTTCAACTAATCCACGAAATTGAGCTACACATCTACCGTTTTCATCAGTGAGTTACTATCTCACAGCCGATATGGTTGAACTCCATTGGTCACTGCTTCTCACTAGAACTCCAGGATATACCTCTTGAAGCCAGTCACTGGTGATCATATGTTGATTAGTATCAGAAGGGGTTTTGTGGAGACTGTAATGATTTCAACAGTTGAGATCATAAGTCAATTGAACCTAGATCACCTCTAAATAGTAAAGAGATATAAACAGTTACCTTTGGAACAGAATTAAAGAGGGGTTTTGGTGTTGACTTACTTTTGTACCTATCTATAAATTTCAGTGGATAACCATATGATATTATTATATCAGTCAGCAGTTTTGCACCTTCTTCAACTATTCTGTAGTGCATATTCTGTGAATCCTATTGAAGAGGCACTTAACCAAGCCTTGTTCGAGTTGCAATGGATAAAAATTTATGGAAATTTGAATATTGATCAATTCAGGTTAGCTCCCTATAAACTGACTATATTATGGTTCTACCCTCTCTTCAACTCAAAAGTAGGTCTTAAAAGGGCAAACGGTTAGTGTTTTGTTCCTCGTAGGTCAACACAATATCGTTCTGTACGCTAATGAGTTCATATAATAAATGAGCAACATCAAAATCTTTATCACATATGACTAATATATCATCCATGTATTTTCTATACAGA